TATAAACACAATATTTAAAAATATGTGATTTAAATAACTAGATTATTTTTACTCATTAGCTTCCAGGCTCTGGTTTTGAGCTTTGCAAAGTTGCAAAACTACAAAGTTTCCTGAGTTATAGTTTTAGGGGATTTCTCCTGCAGGGATGGTATATGCTAGAGTTGCAGGAGTGTGTCTTTTTATAGTTGGACATGTCCTTTCTGGATGTACTCTTTCACCCTTCTGCTCTTAAAACTCTTATTTCTTCAGTTCAGGGAATCCATGTTATAGATGAGAAAATTGGATCTCCAGGAGGTCTGTGATTTGCCCAAGGATATTACACACTTAACTTCTTAGTATGTGCTGTTTCCAGTTCTTTGCTTTGGACTCCATCATTTGGCCAAGGTCCTCTTTATGTCAGCATGAGGAAGGGGAACATTTAATACTACTTGTTAGTTTTTAAAAGGTGTTGATTATGAGGTCCAGTTAAATCTGGAAGAAGGGTAAGCAGTGTTTACAAGACATCACTGGATCATTTTATTACAGTCTGAGGTGTGACCTGCATTTGGATGCCCTAAAGTTGATTTGATTCAGAGTGGCTAACTCACACCAAGGATCTCAGAGTACATTTTACCTATTTAATCTTGCAGACCACTGACTGTCCATTATGTACCAAAATGGTTCTGGCCAGTGGAGATTCGAAGGCGCCTGAGACAAGGTCTTGACCCTCTAGAAGCACAGTGAACAATAGGTAACATTTGCCATAAGGTAGTGTCTTATGAGCTGTGCTGAAGAGAGGCCTAGGGAGGGGAGCTGGGGGGCGGGGGTTAGCCTAGACCTGGAGGTAGAAATGGAGCCCCTGAGGAGAGAACTTGACTGAGTCTTGGTGGGAGAGTGTTAGCAGGCGGAGGAGGGAAGGCCCAACATTTTGAAGCAGCACTTGCAGAAGAGAAAGAGATCTTTTTTTTCAAGGAGGTGTAAGTGTTCTGCACACTGAATCATGGTGTACAAGGGGAAGAGAAGCCAGAGCTGAGGCTGCAGAAATAAGGTGAGGACTAGGTTGGAAGAGCTCAGAAGCTCACACTAAGGAGTCTAGTTTTTAATCTCAAGGAAAATTTATTAAATATTTATGGAGCCCCCACTATGTGCCCAGCCTCTTGTAGCCAATGGAGATTCAGCCATAAAGAAAATAGGTAATATTCCTACTCTCCTGGAATTTACATTCTGCTGTGGGATGCAGACTGTAAACAAATAAAATATGACACGTCAGGTGTAAGGACTATGAAAAAGGAAAAGAACAGAGAGTGACAGTGCAAGGTTGCGGGAGGGGGGGCGCTGTTTTATATAGCGTGGTCAAGGATGTTGGCTCTGGTGAGGTAATGTTTGAACAAAAAGCGGAAGGAAGTGAGTGGGGAGCCACATGCGTATCTGCAGGAAGAGGCTTCCAAGTCAAGGAACAGGCAGAGTGAAGACCTCAAGGCAGAAGCATGTGTGGTACGTTCCAGGAGTTGTAAGGAGGGCAGGGTGAGTAAAGGTAAGAGAGCAGTAGGTTGGGGATGAGGTTCAAGATGAAGTCAGGGAGATAGTGGGGGGCCAGATTGTGAGGGGCTGTGTAGCTACTATCGAGACCTTGGCTTTTACTTGGGATGAATTGGGATGCCGTTGGAGGCTTTTTTTTGCGGGGGGGGGATGCCATTGGAGGCTTTTAAGCAAAGGAATGACTTGCTCTGAAAGGTTTTAACAAGATGAGTCTAGTAGTTATATGGAAGACAGACTTGGGAGGGGTGGGGCATGAGTGGAAAAGGGGAGACAAGGTAGGAGATAGTAGCAGTGATCCAGGTAAGAGGTGATGGTGGCATGGACTAGGGTGAGGGCAGTAAGAATAGGGAAAAGTGGGAAGAAATTAAAGGTTTGTATGCATGATCAAATTTGTTTTAGAGAAGTGACTCTGATAGTACACAGGAAAGAGTTGGTGGAACCGTGAGTAGTAGAACAGAAGTTACTTGTCCTGCCAGGGCAAGAAATGAGTGGCCTGGACTAGACATTTGTTTACTGGTCAGCACATTCTTTAACATTAGTTCAACCTATTTGGGGAAGCAGAATAAAGTCAGGAGGCCATGTGTTAAATACAGGGAACCAGTGAAGCAAAGGAATCCAGATTGGCTGCCAACTCTGTGTTCCTAAACCAAAGGGGCTGTAAGTTTAGAGGACAGAGTAGGAGTGGAAAGGTGTTACTTCTCACAGCCTAACTTGAAATGTCTGCTTTGGTCCAAACCTTTTCTCTGCTAGCCATGTGCATCCCAAATCCAGCCTCCCTTCTCTAACTTCTCAGTACCTGGGATGGATTCCCACTCTTTTTTCTCCCATCCTAATGGTACTTACCTCTTAAGGCCCAGTGCATAGCCTACCTTGAAGCTTCTCTCTTGTACCCAGTTTTCCCTGCCCAGAACGCTGGTAGCACCCACTTTACTATGTATTGTCTCATATCATGCTCTAATAAACAACACATTTTAAAATAAACTGAAACCTATTCAAGGACTGCAGTGTTTTTCTTTTGCATTTTTATTCTGCCATGGTGCATATGGTAAAGCCAGGCGCCTAGTAAATATCTAGTGTCTTTTTTTTTAGCATCTAGTATCATCTTACCTGGCACAGTCAGATCCCTGACCTCTGTCAGAAAAATCTGCCACGGTTCAACCCTTCTCTGTTCTTGTGGGGACACAGCCGCAGTGTTGAGCAGAAATGTGATATGGAGGAGGCACTGTTGTGTACAGATGCAATAATGCACCTCACCCAGCAGGAGATGGGGCCACTCTCCTTTTCTCTCAAATTCAAATCTCAGCTATCTCCTCAAGGCTCAACTCAGTCAGGAATCAGATATTTAGTGTTGGGTCAGGTACTTGCTAGACACTGGTATTCTAGAGTTTAAAAAAAAGGAAAAGTAGAGTCCCTGCTCTCACGATGCTCACCATCTAACTAGGAAAACAAGCATTAAGTAGATTATTAGGTCTGTTTCAATTGTGGATGCACAAAGTGGCTTAAAGCACATGATATGGGGATTGACCCTCCATTGGGGGATCAGAAAACCTCACTGAAGATCTGCTAACCTACACCCGAAGTATGGAATTAGCAAGGGAAAGATGGATGGGAGGGTGGAGAGAGAATTATATCTTCCAGGAAACAGAAGTCCAATTCAGCTATAGCTAAGCACATGGGAGGAGGGCATGGAATAAGGTAGAAACCTTCACGTAACTTTCCCTCACTGCTCCAGTGAACTCATGGCTCTGCTTTCAGTGTCTTTTCATGCTGATTGTCTTTACATACTTTATTATGTACTTCTTGAGGTAGAAATCTAACCAGGACCAAAGGAGATATTTCAAGTTGGGCATAGTGACAGGTGTCCCATGGCTTAACAAGGCCTGGTGAGGCAAGACAGAAATCAACCTGTGAGCATCAGAACGGACTATTCAGAGGCACGAGAGTCCTCAGCCAATTTCAGTGGGTGTTGAGGAGGAAGTGATTGGAGTGGAGTAAAGCATGAAAAAATCTTTGACCTAGAAATTCCAATTCTAGCTATCTAGCCTACAGGAATTCTAATATATTTGCACAAAGAGTGTGTATTGCAGTAATGTTTGTAATAGCAAAATATTGGAACTAATCCAAATATCATAATGACTGGTCGGGCTTCCCTGGTGGCGCAGTGGTTGAGAGTCCGCCTGCCAATGCAGGGGACACGGGTTCGTGCCCTGGTCCGGGAAGATCCCACATGCCGCGGAGCGGCTAGGCCCGTGAGCCATGGCCGCTGAGCCTGCGCATCCGGAGCCTGTGCTCTGCAACAGGAGAGGCCACAACAGTGAGAGGCCCGCGTACAGCAAAAAAAAAAAAAAAAAAGAACTGGTCCATTTATTCATTCACCAAGTTTTTCTAAGCATCCACTATGTGCTGGGCATCGGTCTAGGCACTGGGGGGCATATAGCTGTGAATAAGATAGGTAAAGTCCTTATTCTCACGGGACTTGCAACTGGGGAGACAGAAAAGCTAACAAATCTCAGATAACGATTAGAAATACAAGTGTCCTTTTTCATCTGAATCTATTTGGTTCCTGAGTTCAGGTGGCAGGAATTTGGACAGTGAGCGATACCTGTTTTGGGAGAAAAATTAAGCATGATAATATGATGCATAGTAAATTAGAGGGAGGTGCTAAGACACCTTTTCTGAGGCGGCGATCCTGGACCTGAGACCTAAACGTGGTTTAGGTTGACTGATTGTCAACCATGTCGCGATCCCAAGGCCCAGGGTGGGAACAGGCTTGATATATTCAGGGCAAGGTCAGCATGGCCAGAGCCCAGTGAGTGATGGGGGAGTTTGAATCTTGTTCCTAGTACAGTGGGGTGCTATGGGTTTTAGGCAATGGGTGTCTTATGGTACAGCTGTACTCTGCGGTGCTATGAAGAATTCAAAGAAATAAGGTGAAGTTATACATAACACTAAGGAAAGACTTCCAAGATACATAGCTAAATGTGAAAAGCAGGATGTAGAACAATTTATATGATATTTCACAAAACAAGACTGTGTGTGTGTGTGTGTGTGTGAAACATGGAAAGGGACTGTTAAGTGTATACACCAAACTGTTAACAATGGTTATTTGTAGGGAGTTTGTGGGATTGGTGATGGGGGTGAAGGAGGGCTGTCACTTTTTATTCCCTGCTGTATTTGGGTTTTGTAATGGGCAGTGAGGAATTGGTGATTGTATAGGAAAGGCTTGGCTTTGAAGGGAACAAGAAGAGAACTAAGTAGGCTTACAGGATTGCGGGACACATTGCCCCTCATGACTTTCCTGCCTGCCATATTAGATTCTCTATAAAATTGTGTAACAACTAGTATATTTAACCCAACATTGCCTCCTCAGGATATCACACATGTGATCACCATTTGTGATAGACCCTACAGTAGGTTCCCAGTTTTGCCATGGGAACATTTGTGGGGTTGATCCCTACTTGAGCAGGAATGTGTTCCTACAGGAATCGGTGACATTTAAAGATGTGGCTGTGAACTTCACCCAGGAAGAATGGCACCACATGGATCCCGCTCAGAGGCGCTTGTACAGGGATGTGATGCTGGAGAACTATAGCCACTTGGTTTCTCTTGGTAAGGACCACATCTCATTGTCTGTGTATTGGTGGGTCTTTCCCTTCTCAGTTGCTAAGGTTGTGGGACTCATAGTTTGGGTGACTGTGAGCAGAGTGTACAGGGTTAGAGCTTGTTCATCTTGCTGGGACCCAGCTTTATGGGTTTCTGAGCCTGCTCTTTAGGTAAAAGGTCTTTCTTTTGCAGAACTGGAAATAGGCCATTTGATTGCATGACTCTTCAAGTTGCACCATTTTTTCCCTTCAGAGTTCCTGAGGATCAAGGCCTAATACTGACTTGTAGAGGGTTCTTTGTCTACTTGCACAAACAACCAAATCTTGTGTATTTACCCATGAGCAGGATATCAAGTTTCCAAGCCAGAGGTGATCTTCAAATTGGAGCAAGGAGAAGAGCCATGGATAGCAGAGGGAGAAATCCAAAGACCTTTCTGTCCAGGTAAATGAGGGAGAATCAAGCATGTAGGACAATGGCACAGCTGAGGGAGAGGGAAGCACCTTCATATTGCTGCCTTGGGAGCGCCTAGACCTGTAGAAGAGGTTGGACCGTCTCCTGGATGACACCTCTATATGTCTCCCTTCTCCATTAGGGTGTCTTGCTGCTGGTAGGTCTTGGAAGAAAAGGTACCTCTTTTTCCTTTCTGAAAGTAGCCCTTTGTCCTACACTCAGAATACCATCTGTCCCTATCCTATATCCCTACTTCTGTTTTCTCCTTTGGTGTCCTCAGTCCCCCTTCATTATTTAGAGATCTCTTTTCTTACTCATTCAGACATTAATTGAACTTCCATATCTCCTCCTTGTTTTTTCTTGCTGCTTTCACTGTCGAATGCCCCAGACTTGTAGGAAATACCCATAACCTTGATTCTCCCTCCCTCCAGACTTTTTCCCCTGACTGCACTCCTGTACCACCTGTCTGGCGAGCAACACCATCCTCCTTCCGTCCTGCACTCCTGTCCATTTCCTCCCTCCACAGTTCCTGGAGTATCATCCTCTCCTGGTTTCCCCACTCATTCAATGCTTCTTGGCTTTGGGTCTTTGGCTTTTCTTGCTTTTCCCTCTTAGTGAATCTACCTTAAGGAGCCTGCCTTCTGGCTTCCTCTCCTTTCTTTCTATATTACCTCCCTATAAAAGGGTGCCTGCCTTCTGGTAGTTGCAGCTCTTTATTGTGTGCTGTAGACTCAGAATCATCCTTACTTGTACCCTGGTCACTTTTATTTTCTTCTCACAGGACCCCTCCACTTGTAAGTCCCACAACGTTCTTATTAGAGGTGTAAAATCTAGATTAATCATCTTGCATCTCCAGTCAGCACATTTTGCTACATTGCCCATTATCCATTTCTCCCCTTGCCCATTAGAAATTACCAGGATTCCAGTCCCTCAGGCCAGACACCATAGTCAGTCTAGTCTTTTTCTTTCAACCCAAGTTATTTTCCTCCTTTGAGAAGTATCTTAGGTTTTCCTCCCTTTTAACTTGGACTGGTGACATCCTAAACCAAACCCCAGACTTAGATTATTATAATTCCCAGTTGAAATTGCTCACTGAATCTTAACTTTTTGTAATCCATACTGGATTTTTTAAATCATACTTTTATTGAGATATAATTCACATACCATAAAATTCACCCTTTTAAAGTGTACATTTCAGTGGTTGTTTTGGATATGTACAGAGTTGTGCAGCCATCACCACTATCTAAGCAGTACATGTTCAACACCCCAATAAGAAATCTTATACCCACTAGCAGTCACTTTCCATTCCCCATACCCCCCAGCTCCTGGCAACCATCAATCTCTATGGATTTGCCTATTCTGGATATTTTCTATATATGGAATCATAATATGTAGCCCTTTGTGACTGGCTTCTTTCACTTAGCATAACGTTTCAAGGTTCATTCATGTTGTAGCATGTATTAGAACTTCATTCCTTTGTATTGCTGAGTAATATTTTATTGTATGGATATATCACATTTTGTTTATCTATTCATCACTTCATGGACCATATTGGATTTTAATGCTTTATCTTCCTAAACTAGCCACCTCTGAAAGAACTTTGCTATTACTCCCTGTACCTCATTATAGGAAGCAGAAACTCCCTTGATTTAAAGGTCCCCATCATCCCTTCCAGTATTATCTTTCTATTCCTGCTAAAAAAAGCTCCACCTAGTTTAAACTTTTTCTTGATGTTCTCTGTAAGTAGCATATAGTTTCCCTCATTAGATAATACTTTGTGCCTATCCAAAACCATCTATTCTTTAAGTTCAAGGTCTGTCTAATCCATAAAACTTAATATATGCTAATATATTTATTTGTTTCTTCCTTGATCACAAATACCATTTATATCATCTCTACCACACAAATTCAGATTTAATATGTGCCATCTGATGGGTTTTTTCTTAAGTCATCAAAAGATTGAGTCTTGTTTTTATTCTTAGATTTTAAGCTCCTGGAGAGTCTATTTATTATATTTCTAAATATTTTCTATTTGTATTGCAGAGCATATAGAAGGCAGTCAGAAAATTACTTGATTGATTGTTATGGTATATTGCTGGGAGAGAACTTTCTCATTCATTCATTCCAACAAACATTTCTTGAATGTCCCACTGAGAAGGATTCTAAAAGGAGTACAAAGCATTCTCTGTCCTCAGAAATTTAGAATTGAGTCTTGTTCCAGGGTAAGGAATTTGGGAGTTTAGGGCTCCTTAGTTACTGGGGGTTATTTTTCCCCTCCTAGTATTTTATTATGCAAATTTTCAAATATTTGAGAAGTTGAAAAAATTATACAGTGAACACCATATACCTACCACCATGGTGCTATAGTTGTTAACATGTTGTTATATTTGCTTTATCACTTCGTCATATCTCTTCGTCTGTCTATCTATTAATCTGTCTTACCTTTGATGCATTTCCTAGTGAGTTGCAGACATGAGTACATTTCACCCCTACATGCTTCAGCATGTATATCATTGGCTAGAGTTCAATATTTGTTCATAGTTCTTTTTTTTTAGAAAATATTATATACAGTGAAATATATACCTCTTATATATGTACCATCCATTTGATTTTGACAAGTGCATTCTCCCATCCAACCGAAACTTCTGTTGATATGGAACATCTCCATCATTCCAGAAACCTCCCTCCCCTTAGTTTTTAAAAGGTTACCTTTCTTAGAACCTAGACATTAATTAATTTTCTGCTATTAGTATTCTGAGGTTAAACAGAGGTTTAGAGATCGGTTTTTTAGGCAGATTAAAATAAATTGTTTTTGGTTAAGAGAGGTGATTAATGTAGAATCAGAACTCAAATAGACTAAAATCACAGCTCCGTGTGTAAGGGCAAGGATGATTTGCCTCCTGAAATATTACTTTTTTTTCTCTTTGGGAAGTATAGCCCTTGATCTCGGGTTATGTCAAAGAATCATTTCAGTTAGATCACTGGCTGCAGATTTTCTCTGCAGGGTTTGAAGATCTGAAGCCTCAGAGGGGACTTTAAAGAAATTATGAAATGAATGTATTAGGAAGATAGATTCCGTGGCAGTTTGTAAAATGGCCGGGAGGCATGGATAACAGATAGGACTCTGCAAGACAGACCATGATCCTATTCCATTTGTATCTGTGCCTAACTCTCTCTTGCTCACCTGTTCCCTACTCCCTAACAAGCCCTCCTACATGGGCTTCCTCATTCTGGACTTATTCTTCTCTCTGGATCTGCAGTCTGCATTGTCACCTCTCTCCACTCTTCCTTTCTCCATTTTGGGCCTTCTCCTGAAGCTACAGGACTAATTTCAAAACAGAGTGATGTATAACATATCTCTTTCACTTCCTCATTCCTGTAGCAGTTTGTTTTAACAGGAGGGAATAGGGGACTTTTGCACTTTGGATTTCTTTCAGACTGGAGGACCAGGCCTGAAGCCAAATCTTCAAATCAGCAGAGCATATCTGAAGTATCCCTTAGCACAGATGATCCCTCATGTGCCACGTTAGAAGACACTTGGGATGTTAATGGCCAGTTAGAGAGGCACAAGGAAAACTGGAAGAGACATTTGGGGCCAGATGCATCCACCCAGAAGAAAATAGTCACACCAGAGGAAGCTTGTGAGCAAAATAAATTTGTTGAAAATTCTAGATTGAACACAGACCTGGTTACACAACTGAACATTCCTCCAAGGTCTAATGAATGTGATACACTTGGGAGCAATTTGGGACATAATTCAGACTTACTCAGTCAGAATAATATCCTTGCAAAAAAGAAACCTTATAAATGTAATAAATGTAGAAAAGCCTTTATTCATAGGTCATCATTGACTAAACATGAGAAAACTCATAAAGGAGATGGAACTTTCCCCAACGGTACAGATCAGGGAATTTATCCTGGAAAGAAACACCATGAATGTACTGACTGTGGGAAAACCTTCCTCTGGAAGACACAACTTACTGAGCATCAGAGAATTCACACTGGGGAGAAACCCTTTGAATGTAATGTGTGTGGGAAGGCCTTCAGGCATAGCTCATCCCTCGGTCAGCATGAGAATGCTCATACTGGAGAGAAACCCTATCAGTGTAGTCTCTGTGGGAAAGCCTTCCAGCGCAGCTCCTCCCTTGTTCAACACCAGAGAATTCACACTGGAGAGAAACCATATCGATGTAATTTGTGTGGTAGGTCGTTTAGGCATGGCACATCCCTCACTCAACACGAGGTCACACATAGTGGAGAGAAACCCTTCCAATGTAAGGAATGTGGGAAAGCCTTTAGTCGGTGTTCTTCCCTTGTCCAGCATGAGAGGACTCACACAGGAGAGAAACCTTTTGAATGTAGCATATGTGGGAGGGCTTTTGGTCAGAGCCCATCCCTTTATAAACATATGAGGATTCATAAGAGAGGCAAACCTTACCAAAGCAGTAACTACAGCATAGATTTCAAGAGCTCATCTCTTACTCAAGATGAAAACACTCTCACTGAAGTGAAATCCTATCATTGCAATGACTGTGGGGAAGACTTCAGTCACATTACAGACTTCTCTGACCATCAGAGGATCCACACTGGAGAAAACCCCTATGATTGTGAGCAGGCCTTTAGTCAACAATCTATTTCTCACCCTGGCGAGAAACCCTATCAATGTAATGTATGTGGGAAAGCTTTCAAAAGGAGTACGAGTTTCATAGAGCATCACAGAATTCATACTGGAGAAAAACCCTATGAATGTAATGAATGTGGAGAAGCCTTCAGTCGACGCTCATCACTGACTCAACATGAGAGAACACACACTGGAGAGAAACCCTATGAATGTATCGACTGTGGTAAAGCCTTCAGTCAGAGTTCATCCCTCATTCAGCATGAGAGAACTCATACCGGAGAAAAACCCTATGAATGTAATGAATGTGGGCGAGCTTTCCGAAAGAAAACTAATCTGCATGATCATCAGAGAATCCATACTGGAGAAAAACCCTACGCTTGTAAGGAATGTGGGAAAAACTTCAGTCGAAGCTCAGCTCTTACTAAACATCAGAGAATTCATACACGAAATAAACTCTAGGAACCTTGACATTAGGGAATGTGCCAAAAGCTTTAGCTAAAATATTGTTCTTATTCAGTATCAGAGGATTCTTACTGGAGAGAAAGCTTGAGAATGTAATGAATTGTGTGTGTGTATGTGTGCACATTGTGTGTGGAGAAAGCTCTGTGCTAGTAGACAGTGTTTTTTTTTAATAAAAGCCACATTCTCTGGGACTTCCCTGGTGGTCCAGTGGTTATAAGACTCCACGCTTCCAACTGCAGGGGCACAGGTTCGATCTCTAGTCGGTGAAGATCCTGCGTGCCATGTGGTGCAGCCAAAAAAGAGAAAAGGAAAAAAATAAGTAAAAGCCACATTCTCAGATCTGATTACAGACGTGTGTAAAAACAACTACAAACATATAACCTGTTAGAAATGGTATGCCTATATATTGGACTTTGTAAATTTTTTGAATATATGTTTGCAGGAGATCACCAACTTTCAACAATTTAACTTGTAACTCTCACTGTTTACAGCTTTTTAAAAAAATAAATAAAACTCCCATGGTAGTGACCAAAACTCATTTTTAAATTGCTTGATAGCTGCATTCAACTGCAGCTCTTAACATTAAATTTACCATGGAAACCAGTTTCACCTCCAGGAATTCACCATTCAAAGAATTAGATCAGCTGGTCCAACCGCTTCATTGTACAGATGAAGAAACTGAAAGCCAAAGATGTGAAGTGGTTGCACAGCATGATACAGTTTATAGCGGCAAAGCTGGGTGGAAAATGCAGGTCTCCTGGATCTTTGGCCTCATGGTCTTGCCACTAAAAAGATATTTTGGAATTCAGGGCTTTAAAATAAGTTTTAAAATAAATCAGATGCACCAATATTTAATGAACGCTCAGGAGTTGAATACTTTGGGAATTCATAAAAGCATAAGAGGCAGCAAGACATATGCAAATTTGTCACACACTTATTTAAAGCAGCTTGTTGGAAGCTTACAAACCAAAATGTTAACAGAAATTGTAAATAGTTGAACTACTAATGACTTTTTTTCTTTTCCCACGTATCATACTTCAGCTAAGGTATGTCAGTTTCGTAGAATTAATAAGTCTTCCTACTGTGCTTTTCGTGATCCTCCCATGAAAAAGCACTGCCCCAAGCTTCCTGTATTGATTTGATCAATGGGAAAACAACACAGAACTAAGAGAAAAAAAGTTCCCCAAATTGGGCTTCCCTGGTGGCGCAGTGGTTGAGAGTCCACCTCCCGATGCAGGGGACACGGGTTCGTGCCCCGGTCCAGCAAGATCCCACATGCCGCGGAGCGGCTGGGCCCGTGAGCCATGGCTGCTGAGCCTGCGCGTCCGGAGCCTGTGCTCTGCGACGGGAGAGGCCACAGCAGTGAGAGGCCCGTGTACCACACACACAAAAAAATTCCTCAAATTAATTTTACTGTAGAGAAGTATAAATCCAATTATCCATTGCCATAAAATTTGCCTTTAAATCAGTTTAGGGAATCATCATGTAGTGGGTCATTTTGTGTGCCAAGGAAATTTTCACCATTAAAAAATTAACTTTTATGGCTCTGTGGTGCCTTTCCATCAGTAAAGCGTGAGGTAAGCTTCAATAGCCCACTCTAATCCTTAATATCCCCTAAAGCCTCCCATGGCCTGTTCTAAAGGAATTTCCAGAATCTTTGTTCGTTCATTGGCACCAGTAGTGCAGAGAAATTTGGAAGCAACTGTAGAAATTGACCCTTTTCATGAAAGAGCCTCTGTTCCCCCCAAGATAAGCAAATTTTCCTGCCCTAATGATGAATCCTGGGGAGGAGTGATATGGGGTGGTGTTGATGGTGAACCTTTCTTACTGGCTTCTTTGCATGCCAGGTGGCAGGATCCATCATTTTTGTCTCATCCTGGACAACATGAGGCAGCTCCCAAACATCCTTCGTAATTCTCTGCAGGAAAAATGTGCCTGGGGCCTGCAATGTGGGAAGTCCAGCCCAGTGAGTTTGTCGTATGTGGAGCAAGATGGGATGCTCTATAGCAGATCTGCCCTTCCAAGACTAACCATTCAAAAATACCTTGTTTATGATGTTCCACGCTTAGCATACGCCACAATGCCAAGACCGTGCCTGTGTTGTCTGATACGTAGTTTGACAATGGGCAATTCTACTCGGAACCTCCTCTACTGATTGGCTAGGATGCCTGTCAGGAACTCATTTTTCTGTTGATTGTTTGGGGATCCCCATAGTGGACTGTTTGCAAGAATGGCATGAATTGTAACCAGTTGAGTGCTACGCAGCTGTTGTGGAAGTTTATAAAGACTTAGTTCCAGAAGACCTAAAGGAGACCACTGGTTTGTGTGTGCAGCCTGGCCTAGATCCAACCAGTCTCTGAATCTCAGCATATCATCATTGGCAGGGAGGGCGCCCAGGATGTATGTATGGCTGATTGAGCAGAGGATTCTCTAGTCCCAGCAACCATGCACCATGCACTTAATGAACACCGAGCTTCTAGGCCATATGAAATACATCCTTGTAACATTGTTGTATTATTTCAATAAATAGCCTTCTTAGTTGAATGGGAGTCAGTTTGTCTTTTTCCATTTTCAGAACTTGGCTAAGATTAAAGAGTGGTGCATCAAGGAAGAGGGATTAACTGCTAAACTCATCACAGCCAGGTGAGTTAATAGCATTTATTGATTGCTTACTACTTGAAAGACATTGTGCTAAGTACTATATAGCCATCATTTCATTTAATCCTTACAGGTCCCCTAATAGGTCTTGTGGTGTCTTGTCTTTGCCTAACTTTTTCCCCACTCTTCCTCTTGTAACAATCCCTGCTGTACTGACCACAGGAACACAAGTCAGGACATCCTGGGGCTCAATGATAGTTCCAGGAACAATTGAGCCAATCAGAGTCCTTTGACAGAATTTTTTCAAAATAGACTTAGCAAGGATACTTTAATTTGAGGTTGCTAGGCTGGTAAGGTGAAGGCCTAAAGTTGCCTGGAGCCTGATTCCTTACCAGAGCGGGGAGGTCTGTTGTAGCAGGAGAGGATGCAGCCGCCATGATGGTGTTCTCATTTCTCATTCCTGAGGTCCTTGGACTGGGCTCAATTTCTGAAGCTCTTCTGGGATTCAGTGGGCTCCCCACTATCAGTTGAATGAGTCCCCCTTTGTTATATTTCTGTTGCTTGCATTAAAGAAACTTAATGCATGTATTATATCTTTGTTTTATAATGGGGAGAAAAACCTAGAGAGGTAAAGTACTGCCCATGGCAGATTCAGACTTGGAACCCAGAACTGCCTGGCTGCAAAGGCAGAGCTCTTAACCTCTAAATTTCATGTCTCCAGAGCCATGCTATGTTCAAAGAGATGCATGTAACACAGTGTCGTTTGGGGGTGAATGGATGAAGGGATATGGTGATAGGTTAGACGGGAGACCATGTGGAAGCAAAATGATGAAGGGCCTTGGAATGTTTTTCTTGACTGTTTCAGTAAATTAAATCCCCCAGATTCACCCACACCCTCACACTTTAATATATAAGTTATTTGCATTTGCCTAGACTGTAGATAAAATCTTGTCTCATACTTAAATAAAAAACTTTCTTACAAATATTTTTCATGTTGCTACACAGTCTCATGATCCCATTAACAAACTCCCTACTGTTGCAATAATATTTGGATAGTTTGGGGCATTGGTTTTATAATGACATTGAATACTTTCACCTTTTTAAGCACCCCCACTTTTTTTTCTATAGAATTTTTTCTTAAAATATCCAGAGTGAGATAAATATCCAAAATGGGATTACTGGGTCAGCATGTATAGGTAAGTATAACCAGGTGTGAGATTCATGCAAGAATAAACTAGTTACAATAGTGCAGGAGTAATAACTTCAAAATTGCAAAAGGGAAACAAGAGAAAACCAGTGTCCTACTCCTGGTGCCTGGGTGTATGTGGGGAAGGGCCCCAAGGTAGGCACTATGTCTGCCAGAGCATCTAGCACTTCTCTGTGCCAGCATGGATAATAAAACAATTCTGCGGTTATTAGGCATATTGATGCTGGTGATGCTTGGTTCTTTATAAGTGGGCTTTTATAAATACTGAAATAGTTAATTCCTACCTGTTAAAAATGCAAATGTCACATCAGGGAAGGTTTTAATGACTGCCTGGCTAAATTGGTCTCCTTTTAAATTTTCATGGATTATTGTTAATGTCCTTCACCTTACCACAATTTGTATTTTTGATTATTTGTTTTCTCCCCACCCCACAGTAGATTGTGAGTGCCAGGAAGGCAGAGTCCACATCTATTTTGCTAACATTTTTTGTTCCCTTGATTATCACAATGCCAGGCACACAATAGGTACTTAATATAGTCTTGTTAGCAGTATAGTGGAGATGTGTTGATAGAGAAAGAAGGCTAGTTTTTCAAAATGAAAAGATGCTCAATCTTGAAATCAGAATACTGCAAAACAGTGAGATACTATTTCATATCCCTTAGGCTGGCAAAAAATTTAGAAGTCTGGCAGGGGGAAACTGAGAACTTTTATACACTGCTAGTGAGAGGGTTAATTAATATAATCATTTGGGGGAGTAATTTGGTAATATCCAGTAAAATTGAAGTTAAGCATACTTGATGACCCATTGATTCCACTTCTAGATCTATGTGGTAGAGTAGAAGTAGTCCCATGTGAGCACAAAGACATGTACAAGGATGATTATTGCAGCAGTGTTTGAAATAGTAAATATATGGACACAACATAAATGTCTGACAGTAAGTGAATGGGTTAGTAAACCGTGGCATATTCTTAATATAATACAGTACTTCAGTAAAGGAACCAGAGCATCTGGAAACGAAAAAACATTCTAACTCGCCTATTCCGCTCCTGTACCCATGCGGCTAAATGTGGCTGCAGGAAACAGAGCCACAGTGACTAGTCCCACTTTAAATCCCTGACTGCTAACCTCAGGCATTTGTTTCCCTAGTCCAGTCGTTGTCCCAGTCTCCTAAGGTACTGTTGTATAGCTTCTGTCTTCTCAACCTCCAGCACTTCACCCCAGTCCTTACTCAGCTGGTGACCTTGTTTCCTAGGTAACAGGAAAATAAAAGCAACCAGAAGGTAACTACTCACCTACGTGCATCTTGTCCCTGTGCTCTTCCTTTCTTTCCTGCTACTGTGGTTGACACTTTGTTCTCTTATCTAAGACCAGCTTCTCTCTGGTGTATTAGATCCTGTTCATAAACTAGAACATCATTCTTACAGTTGTCCTCTTTCCTGCATCTTTTTTTTCTTGTCTACTGAATTTTTCCTATCAGCATAATAACGTGATTTTTCTCATCTTAAATCTATATTTGTAAATATATTTAAATATTACACATACACACACTCACACACACACACTGCATCCCCCTCCACCTGCCACTTCATTCCCTACTTAATAGGAATATTCCTCAATAGAGGTGTCTAATACTCATTGTCTCCAATTCCTCTCCTTCCAGTCTCTCTTGCACCCCCTCCAATTAGGTCTTTGTTTCTGCTTTTGTCAGAGGGTCACTGATGGACTCCATGTGGCTAAATCCAGTCGTATTTTTTCAGTCCTTTTTTTTTTTTTTTTTTTTTTAAATGGTACGCGGGCCTCTCACTGCCGTGGCCTATCCCGTTGCGGAGCACAGGCTCCGGACGTGCAGGCTCAGCGGCCATGGCTCACGGGCCCAGCCGCTCCGCGGCATGTGGGATCTTCCCAGACCGAGGCACGAACCCGCGTCCCCCACATCGGCAGGCGGACTCTCAACAACTGCGCCACCAGGGAAGCCCTTTTCAGTCCTTTTACTTGACCTGTCAGCATTATTTGGTACAGTTGATCACTTCCTCATCCTTGGCTTCCAGGTTATCACACCTAGATTTCCTTATACTTTATTGACAGCTACTTCTCCCAAGTTCTATATCTTCCCTTGCTCTAGACATAGGAATTCTTCTAGGGCTCCATCTTTGGATCTCTCTTCTTTTTCTACAGTCACCCTCATTGGGGCTCTCATCTACTCGCAAGACTTTAAATACCTGCTTGAAAATTTTATGTCCAGCCCAAGATTCCATACTCATAACCAACTGCCTACTTGAGACCTCCACTTGGATTTCTAACAGACATCTCAAATTTAATATGTCCAAAAATGAACTAACTCATGATCTCCCCTTCCCACCCTCATCATAAGCATGTTCCTACGTCAGCCCTCCCATCTGGGAAAAGGCAACCCCATCCTTCCAGTTGCTCAAGTCCCAAACTGGGGAACCATTCTTGATACCTTTCTTTCACACCCCATGTCCAAGGTTCAGTAAGTTCTGTCTGCCAGCTTGCAGGATATATGTGGATGGCCATTTCTTGTTGCCTCTACCATCCTAGGCAAGTCACCATCATCATCTACGGTCCAGATATTTGCAATAAATAGCCTCCTAGTTGGTTTCCCTGCTTCCACCCGTGCCTCTCTATGTTCGAAGTTCAGCAGCCAGAGTGACACTGTAAAAGTCTAAGATTGTGTCACTCATCTTCTCAAAGCCCTCAAATAGCTCTCCACGAATAAAGACTAAAGTAAAAGCCCTATGCAGTACTGCCACCACCTGCCACCCTCCTGTATTATCTGTCTGACTCACCACTCGTCTTCTTTCTTGATCACTGTACTACGGCTCCACCAAACTCTCTGCAGTAACTTAAACACCCACGGCAAGCTTCCACTTCAGACGCTTTGCATTTGCTATTGACTCTTCCTGGAATCCTTTTCTTCTAAATGTCACCTGGTTTGGTTCCTCACCTCCTGCAGATCTTTGTTCAGTGAACCCTTCTTTGACTATCCTATTGAAATAGCAATCCCCGGGAATTCCCTGGTGGTTCAGTGGTTAGGACTCAGGGTTTTCACTGCCAAGGGCGCAGGTTCAATCCCTGGTCAGGGAACTAAGTTCCCACAAGCCCCTTGGCGTGGCCAAAAAAAAAAAAAAGCAATCCTGCATGGCATGCTCCACCTCCCTTCCCAGCTTCATTTTCTCCATAATACCTACCACCACCTGACATTTACTTGTTTATTGTATGTCCTTCTCAAGAAGGTAAGCTCTGTGAGAGTAGAGATTTTGGGGGGTGTAAATTTTATTGAAGCACAACATATTTACAGAAAAGTATAAAAATAGCAAGTGAGCAGCTTGATGATTGAGAACAACTTGCGTATCTTGTTCAGTCCCCTGTACCCAGGACAGGAGATACTCAAATGTTTAATGAATGGTTGAACTGAGTGTACATGTTACTAACAAGGCTAACATTGAAAACAATTGAAAATAAAGTTGCAGAGGGATTACATACAGTGTGATAAAACTTTTAAAAATCCATATCACCTATTTTTTTTTATCAACTCATATGAAGTAAAAGTAGGAAAGTATTAAATTACCAGCTTCAGAGTGGTGGTTTCCTCAGTAGCTAGTGGGGAAAGGGTTGGGAAGGGATAACAGAAGACAATTTTTTTTAATAAAAAAGCAAATCTGTCAAATTATTAATATTTGTTAAAAGAGGCTGATGCATATTTGTTGTATGTGTCTCTGTGAATGTTAAACTCTTTTACAGTTAGTCTGCCTCCCTGCTCTTACCTGGTCCCTTCTCATACAAAGCCACTTCCCTAGTTCCCCTCGGTACCATGAGCCTGTCTGACCTGTACATCCAGCCTGTCTGAAGCATTTAGGAGAAGGAATGATGGGCATTCATGCTCCCAAGGGCGAGAAGTCTGATCCAAGCCCAAGAAAGTGTCGGTCTTGGTACTGTCAAAATCAAAGTAGTTCCTCCTCTCTAGAAATGCCATTTGAGGGAATAATTAAAAAGAAGGGGAGGGCAGGGGCACAGAGGGCTTCCTGTAGATAAGCAACATAGGTGATTATCGGCAGGAGTTGGTGGAAGGAAAGAACCAATTTTTGCTAGCAAATTGTAGGGAAAGCCCTGTAATTTTGGAAAAACACTTTTTTTTTTGGACAAACATTTTAATGGATAAAGGAGCCAAGAAATTTGGACCTGATATAAAGATGGTATTTTATTCTGCTATGACCAGATAAGTATTAGTTGTAGTAATTAATGGAGGTTTTGTTTTACCATGTGCTTTAAGAAACTAGCCATTACCAATTGTTCTTGAATTTTAATACTCATTTTCAGAAGTTAAGAGTTGTCACAGAGTTTTGGCATGGACTTTTCTGTTGGCTTAGAATTGCTGATAAAGCCTGAAAGATGAAAAAAGTCATATTCCCCTACATTCTAAAGGGTACCACAAGAACTGGGCACATGCTCCCACAGGATTCACTAGGAAGTGAGAAATTCACAACCTCTCATTCCTAGGCCCCCACTGACATATAACCATGCAACAGGGTCAGATCCAGAGGAGAGGATCCTTGTGGTGGTAGGGTGAGTCCCCTGGCCCTCCCCACAGGGCTGGGGGAATCAGGCACCAAGAGAATGACTGGAGATATTGGGGGCATCTGACATCACTGGAGCTTGCTGTCTTTATCTCCAGCAAAACCACAAGCCCACTTCAGGGCTACTACTCCGAGTTCTTAGGAGAGCTTGCACGTGCGCCTGAAGAGTGGGTATTCGGTGGTAAGGAGGTGGGGAGGAATGTAACAGACAGGTACCAGCAACTGTCTGGAGATTTCTGAATGGAGGGGTGTTCTGGTGGAGTAACCCCACCAGCAGAATGTGAAGGCCTCTGAGCATCCGCCTTTGTGCTGTGCCTTGGAAAAAAAGGACAGGCCCAATCTCTCCGATTTCTTTGCCATCAGAGGTCACAAAACAGGATTTCAGTGGATCCTGGGTGGGGTGACCATATGTATTACTGATCAGCTAAACCAGGACCATTGAGCTCATTCTCAAGGGGGAGCTAACCAGACGGGAAGCTGGGACTGTGCTGACAAACTGGGAGATACGTTTATCCTACGCCTGAGCTCCCCGGAGGAAAGAAGTCAGAGGGTGGGCAGGAGCAATGGCTCTGTGTCCCAGGGGCTGCCCCACCAAACTAGCGGGTGATCCACCTGGAGAGGGGTTGGAGGTGAGGACAGAACTAGGCTACCCCTCTCTGAGTGAATATAGTGGGCTGGGATGAAGCTGCACACAGCCCACAGACTGGCGCGCATCTCCCTGTGAGGAGGCCGCCTGCTGGGGCAGGCCACCGGCCCTGGGCTCAACAGGACTAACACAGCGGACCGGCACCTTCCTTCTTAGCCCTCACCTGACCCATGCGGGCTGGGCATGCGAGCATCTAAGAATCAGGTATGAATTTTGAGTTTTGAACTGGTCTCAACTAAGTTTTAATAACCGTAAGTAAGCACAAAATTGCTTTTTCTCAGGTTATGAGCTCCTAAAGGGGGTTTGATAGCCTGGCGAGGGCGAGAAAGCCGTTTAAAATGGTGACACCAGACAGATTAGGTTTATACCACCAAATTTAGACTTAATAATAGAAAATCTGGGTGTGCCTTTTAAAGAGGTGTCAAAGGAAGCCCACTTGGACTTCCCTGTGGGTCCAGTGGTTAAGACCACGCTTCCACTGCAGGGGACAGGGGTTCCATCCCTGGTGGGGGAACTAAGATCCCGCATGCCTCCGGGCCAAAACCCACTTGCGTCCCCTAACACTGTAGGAGTGCTGGGTAGGGAGTGTAGTCCACCTAGTGCGGGCCACCCGCTTGCAAAGGGAGCAGCCTCCCAGGTCTCCAGGCGCTGCGCGGCTGCAGACTACATTTCCCGAAAGCCTTGGCGGTGGTGCGCTTCGGTTCCTGGTTTGACGTATTCCGCCTCTGACTGGGGCGCTCGTGGGAGAGGAACGTGGCCCTGGCGCATGCTATAGTCATTTTCGACATGCGCAGAGGCGAATGCGTGCCGCTTGGTGTTCGCTCCATCTTAAGAAAGTGAAGAGGAGGCAAGAGCTTGACCGCGCGCGAGGTATTTGCCCTGCACTCTGCTCCCGGGGCCAGGCTACGCTCCTTCCGTGGCCGCCACCAACCACCCACGCCCCATGGCTAGAACACGCCAGACCGGGGCCTTGCGGTCTCTCCCCCACCCTGGCTCTGCCTAGTGGCCGGAAACTGCCATCTCCTATCACGTGATCTGCTGGACAATTTGGGGGGACGTTGAATCATATGAGGTAGTCTAGGTAAGTGGAGAAGCTTAAAGTAACAATAGCTCCCCTCTCTGAAAAAAAAGTTTGGCTTTTCCTGAGGGGCTGTAAGTTTCTACTCCCCCGAAACACGGTCATAAAACCAGAAACACCATCTCCTTTTCCTCTCTCCTCCCGTCTGCTCTCTTCCTCGGTACAGGAAGCGTCCTGTGCAGCTAGGCTGGAGGGAGAATAATGAAGCCTTGAGTGAAGGGTTACACTCATGGTAATGGTAGTCTAGGTAATTAGGACCAACTCTTCCATGGAAAATAACTTAGGCTGGATGAAACGTTGAAAAAAGCATTGCAAAGAGCTAACAGGAGAGTGAAGAATTAAGGATCAGACTCTAGGAGAAGCAAGAGACTAAGCCATAATCCCAACACTCAAAGCTGCTTTTGCCTGAAGGCATTTGCTGGTGGAAAGAGACACCTGTGAAAGCCAGCAGTAAAGTTGGTGGACTTGCAGTATAAGGGGTACAAGTGTAAAAGTGTTGAAAGCTGGGAGTCTGAATAATCACCCCACATTTGAACTGGGACCCCAAATGAAGACATGCTCAAGAAAATGTTAAACAGGAGATAAGCCCTGGCATAGACATGTCTCCCAAATTCAGGTTGTCTTGGAGTTGTAGAGATCCTCAGCCTTCAAACTCTATAACATTGACCTAGTGGTGTGCCCGGGTGTCTGACAAAAGCAAATGGAAATGATCCTTAGAGAAGGGAATTATCATCGTAGACATCAAAGTATTCACACACACACTTCATTTTTAGTAACTTCCAGCACATTCTCAAAGATAACTAGATACACAAGGACATAAGAAATCGTGAAAGAACATGCAGAATTAATAAACAAACACAGACCCAAACACTTCTGGAATTATCAGAGAAAGAGTATAAAATAGCAATTCTTAGTATTTTTAAAGAGATAAAAGAAAAGGTTGAAAATATCTACAAAAACAAGCTTTAAAAATTGGCCTAGCAGTTTAGAAAAAATAACCAAATAGATTGTTTTTTTTTTAAAAAAGCTAATTTAGGGCTTCCCTGGTGGCGCAGTGGTTGGGAGTCTGCCTGCCGATGCAGGGGACGCGGGTTCGTGCCCCGGTTCGGGAGGATCCCGCGTGCCGCGGAGCGGCTGGGCCCGTGGGCTGTGGCCGCTGGGCCTGCGCGTCCCGCAGCCGGAGAGGCCGCAGCGGTGGGAGGCCCGCGTACCGCAAAAAAAAAAAAAAAAGCTAATTTAAAAAAACAACAGCTATCTGTTTGGACAGCAAATTAAACAGAAAAGAAGAGAGAATGAACTGGAATATCTGTGAGAAGAAATTGTCCAGAAACTATTATTGCACAGAGACAATGAGATGGAAAGTATAGAAGACGAAGTAAAATACCTTAAGCCATTGGGTAGAAAGCCCAACATAAATTTAATCAGATTCCCAGAAGGAAAATACCGAACAAGCTATATGAAAGACATACCAAGCTACAGATTCAAGAAGCCCAATGAAACTCAAGGAGCACAAATAAAAATAAGTCCACAACAGATACATCACGGTGAAACAATAAAATATAAAAGGTAAATAAAATCTTAAAAGCAATTAGAGAAAAAGATCAATTAACTTCAAGAAGTAACATCTGACTTCCCAATAGCATCTGTGGAAGCCATACGAATGGGGAATGAAATCTTCATTGTGCTTAAAATATCTGTCAACCTAGAAGCATGTATACAGCAAAATCTTTCAGGAATGGAGACACAAGTATCTTTTATACAGCTAAAAACGGTCAATACTTCTTGCTCTCTGAGAGACCTGGCGCAAACTTCTTTTACATGGGGCTATCATTGTCCCACCTGTTGGGACTTAATGCTAGGATTGAGTTAATATCTGTATAGGACTTTGCTCCTTGCCCGCTCGTAGTTGGTGTTCTTTAAAATGTTTGGTCCCAAGGTGAACAAGCTGGGATTGTGGGGGTGCTGCCCGTGCGGGGAACTCTCCCCGAGCGCGTCCTGATGGGAGCGAGTGCTGCAGGGTCCTGCTGCCCGTCTTCCGGCCCGGACAACGCGTGCCTGCCGGTGGCCACGAGGGGGCGATGCCACACCGCAGTGGGTGCCTGGGAGGCCACCGAACTTGCACCAGGTGAGCCTGTTGCCGGCTTCCTCTCCTCTTTCTTCTTTCCCTTCCCGCCTTTAAAGGATGATGGAATTTTCGCAGCATCTACATAACGATATACTCCATCCACAAGGGATGCACCTGAGGGGGAGAGATCTGGAACACCTGGCAATAGGGCCGATCAGCGTCAGCGTCGGCTGTGGTCAGACCTGCAAATCTCAGGCAACACTGTCATAAATAATGCAGGAGGGGCTCAGTACCTCCGTGGGCAAAGTGGGTTTTTTTCCCGCAACTTTTTCTTCAAAAAAAATTCAAACCAACAGAAACGTTTTCAAAACTGTACAATCAACAAACATTCATATATCTTTCATCTGGATTCACTGTCAATCCAATTTGCCAGGTTATTTACACACACATTTTGTTTTGGCTGAACCGTTTTAGACCTACTTGCAGACATCCTGACACTTTACACCTAAAATACTTCACCCTGCATCTCCTAAGATCAAGGACATTCTCACACGCAGCCACAATACCATTATCACACCTAAGACGCTCAGCATGGATATAATTAAATACAATTAAATGATATACAGTTCCATATTTAAATTTCCCCAATTATTCCAGTTTTGTCCTGTATAGCTGTAAATTTGTTTTGTTTGTGATCCAGGACCTGATCAATGGTCACCTCATTTTTTCTTTCATGACTTTTTTTTTTTTTTTTTTTTGCAGTATGCGGGCCTCTCACTGTTACAGTGGTCTATCCCGTTGCGGAGCACAGGCTCCGGACGTGCAGGCTCAGCGGCCATGGCTCACGGGCCTAGTTGCTCCGCGGCATGTGGGATCTTCCCAGACCGGGGCTCGAACCCGTGTCCCCTGCATCGGCAGGCGGACTCTCAACCACTGCGCCGCCAGGGAAGCCCCTTTCATGACATTTTTGAAGAGTCCAGGGAAGTTGTCTTACAGAAGAGTCTACCATCTGAATCTGTCGCCTATTTATTCTTTGTGATTAGATTCAAGAAAGTCAGTTTTGTGTAAATACTGCATAGGCCATGTTAGCTTTTTCCCATTACATCGTATCAGGAGGCCCATCACATAAGCCTGGACTATATTAGTGACACTAAGTTTGATCACTGGGCTACATGTGACAGTTTCCTGTCATAAACAATACTCTTGAAACATTAACTCCCCATTTCCCCCTCTCCAGCCCTTGTCGGTTATACCACCATTATACTTTCTGTCTATGATTTTGACTACTCTAAATACCTCATATATTTATTTATTTATTTTGGGCTGTGTTGGGTCTTCGTTTCTGTGCGAGGGCTTTCTCTAGTTTTGGCAAGCGGGGGTCACTCTTCATCGCGGTGCGCGGGCCTCTCACTATCGCGGCCTCTCGTTGCGGAGCACAGGCTCCAGACGCGCAGGCTCAGTAGTTGTGGCTCACGGGCCTAGTTGCTCCGCGGCATGTGGGATCTTCCCAGACCAGGGCTCGAACCCGTGTCCCCTGCATTAGCAGGCAGATTCTCAACCACTGCGCCACCAGGGAAGCCCTAAATACCTCATATAAGTGGAATCATACAGTATTTTTCTTTTTGTGAGTTGCTTATTTCACTTAGAATAATGTCTTGAAGTTTTATCCATGTTATAGCATATTTCAGAATTTCCTTCCTTTTTAAGGCCAAATAATATTCCGTGGAGTGTATTGGATTGGTCAAAAAGTTTCTTTCGGGCTTTTCTGTAACACCGTACAGAAAAACCCAGAGGAACTTTTTGGCCAACCCAATATATACCACTTTTCGGTAATCTATTCATCAATCAGACACTTGGGTTGCTCCCATGTTTTAGCTATTGTGAATAATGCTACTATGAACATGGGTGTACAAATGTCTCTTCAAGACCCTGAAGAGGGTCTTGGATAATTCTTAATTCTTTTGGATATAGAATTGCTGGCTCATATGGTAATTCTATTTTTAATTTTTTGAGGAACTTCCATACTGCTTTCTACAGCGACTGAACCATTTTACATTCCTACTAACAGTGCACAAGTGTTCCAGTTTCTCCACATCCTTGTCAACACTTACTGTTTTCTGGGTTTTTTAAAAAATAAATTTATTTATTTATTTTTTGGCTGCGTTGGTTCTTGGATGCTCTGTCGCGGTGCGCGGGCTTCTTGTTGCGGTGCGTGGGCTTCTCGTTGCGGTGGCTTCTCTTGTTGCGGAGCACAGGCTCTAGGCGCATGGGCTCTAGAGTTCAGGCCCAGTAGTTGTGGTGCACGGGCTTAGTTGCTCTACGGCTTGTGGGATCTTCCCAAGGCGGACTCTCGACCACTGCGCCACCAGGGAAGCCCCACAAAATTTTAAAAAACAAAATGTAGTGGTTTTTAAAAAAATGTTTATTTATTTATTGTCTGTGTTGGGTCTTTGTTGCGGCCTGAGGGCTTTCTCTATTTGCAGAGAGCGGGGCTTCTCTTGTTGCGGAGCACGGGCTCTAGGTGCATGGGCTTCAGTAGTTGTGGCTCACGGGCTCTAGAGCGCTGGCTCAGTAGCTGTGGCTCATGGGCTTACTTGCTCCACGCATGTGGGATCTTCCCGGACCAGGGATGCAACCTGTGTCCCCTGCATTGGCAGGCCATTCTTATCCACTGCGCCACCAGGGAAGCCCAAAATGTAGTTTCTTAAAGAAAAAAAAAAAGCTTTAATTTATTGAGCAACTACTAGGTTCAAAAAGCTTAACATTCATTATCTACTTTAATCCTCACTTCACCCCTTTAATCACTTGCCACCACTCTGCCCTTTGTCTACTCCACTCCAGTCACACTGGCCTCCCTACTGCCTTCTTTTTTTGGGGGGCGGGGGGGGTGGCTGTGTTGGGTCTTTGTTGCTGTGTGTGGGCTTTCTCTAGTTGCGGTGAGCAGGGGCTACTCTTACTTGCGGTGCGTGGGCTTCTCATTATGGTCACCCCTTACTCGGCTCCCTTCAATGTGCGGAACCTGCCCGCAGAGCGGGCGCGTTCGGTGGGGCCGAGCTAAGAGTGTGTCCAAGGCGTGCACGAGGGCTCCATCGCCCCTTCCATCTCCGGGGATCTCCGGGGTAGCCCCCACCGGCCTCAACACATCGGAATCGGCGGACACCGACGTAGAGCTGGCCGCCACTCGAACTCCCCTCTCCCCCAATCCATCCCCGCTCCCCACGCCCCTTCTCCGGCTCGCCACTCTCGGCGCTCGCCTCTCTCCGCCCTGGCCCCACGTGCGCGCGTGCTCGGGTGCTCTGCCCGGGAAGTGCTGGCGGGAGCGGCGACAGCGGCGGGAGGTTCGGTTGTCGCCCGTTGCAGCGTGGCGCTGTGCTTGTTGGCCGCCATTGCAGGTCAGGCTGCAGGGAGCGAGGGCCGAGCCTGGAATGGGTGCGAGGGTGCGAGGGAGCGGGAAACTAGGGAGCTGGGGCCGGGCGGGGCACGCGGCTCGAGGAGAAGAATGGCGAGCTGAGGGGCACGGAGCAGGGGAGCGGCGGGCAGGGGAGGGGAGGCCGGTAAGGGGGAGGGGAATGGGGAGGGCCGTGCAGAGGTGAGGGCGACCCAGAGGGGCCCCTGGTAGGAAGGCTGGGAATTTGGAGAAGGGAGCAATGTGGAGTCAGAAGGCGGAGGGAAGGAAGCGAGCGAGCAGGGCAGAGCGGGAGAAGGGCTGAAGGAGTGGCCGAGCGTGGGCGGAGGACGGAGAAGGGGGCGGCGCGGGCCGGAACCTCGAGGTACGTGCAGAAAGGGGCTCTTCCCTGTGTGGGGAGGGAGCCCAGCACGGGATGCTTGCAAGAGTGGGGTAGAACTGGAACCCAGGAAGTAGCGGGAACATCAGAAAGGAGACTTAGCCGGGTATAGGACTGTGAGGTTCCTTCGAGGGGACATTTTAAGTCGTGGGGGAGAGGCTGCCGGGAGCGGTAATTGGGAGGGTGGTTGGAAGGAAGAGACAGTCTGGAGAGTGATCCAGCTTCATTTGTGGGCAGAGTGAGAGACGAGATAAGAGTGGGGTGGAGTCGGGTCCTGGAGGAGCGAAGTACTTAAGAATTGAGGGGGGAATTAGGGAACGATTTGGAAAATGAGGGTGGTAGAGGGATAACGTTTAAAGAGTAATCTTTGGGAGGAGGGAGAACGGTTTGGAAAGACTATTCCGGGGGTGGGGAGTGGAGGAAGGCAGTTTAAAGAATAGTTTCCTTGGGAGGTAGGAGAAAGGGTAAACACCTTGGTGAGGGGTCCTAGAGAAATTCTCAGGGTAATTTGGAGGGGGATGGGGAAGAGAGGGGAAGCGGATGGAGAAGTCCCAGAAAGTGGGCGGGGTTAGAAACAGGAAGTGTTTGTAGGTCAAATTGAAGGGAGGGGAGGGGGTCGGGGAGGGGGTGGAGAAGATGGGGGCTGGTGGGAGGGGAATCCAGTACAGAGGGAGACCTCAAGTAGAGCTATAAAGGAAGGGGCTTTGCGGAAGATAGGGTGCCACAGCAGTAGGAGGAGGAAGGGTAGAAGGGGCCGCAGAGTAGCAGAAGATGCAGAAAACTGGAGTAACTCAGATCGACTGAAGCCATCTTTTCTGCCCATTGTCTACAAATACCAGTAATTGATACCCTCCTCATGGGAATCTTAAAATGTGATAGGAAAGTAAAAAAAAGTTTGGCCAAAAAGTTCGTTCGGTTGTTTCAGCAAGATGACTCTAGTAGGGCTTAGTTTCTTTAACTTCATTCAAAACAATTTTGCTAGATTATATTGTGGCAGCATTTTAAAAAAACTTATAAGGAAGAAAAAAAGCAACATTTTTGGCATATTATGCTTTATTTCAAGAAAGGTAGAAACGCAACTGAAACAAAAAAAAGATTTGTGCAGTGTATGGAGAAGGTGCTGTGACTGATCGAACGTGTCAGAAGTGATTTTTGAAGTTTCTTGCTGGAGATTTCTTGCTGGACCATGCTCCACAGTTGGGTAGACCAGTTGAAGTTGATAGCGATCAAATCGAGACATTAATTGAGAACAATCAACGTTATACCACGCGGGAGATAGCCGACATACTCAAAGTATCCACATCAAGCGTTGAAAATCATTTGTACCAGCTTGGTTACGTTAATCGCTTTGGTGTTTGGGTTCCACCTAAGTTAAGCGAAGAAAACCTTCTTGACCGTATTTCCACATGGGATTCTCTACTTAGACGTAACAAAAATGTTCCGTTTTTAAAACAAATTGTGACGGGCAATGAAAAGTGGATACTGTACGGTAATGTGGAATGGAAGAGATCGCCGGGCAAGTGAAATGATCCACCACCAACCACACCAAAGGCCGATCTTCATTCAAAAATGGTGATGTGTATATGGTGGGATTGGAAAGGAGTCCTCTATTATGAGCTCCTTCCAGAAAATCAAACGATTAATTCCAACAAGTACTGCTCCCAGTTAGACCAACTGAAAACAGCACTTGACGAAAAGCGTCCGGAATTAGTCAACAGAGAACGCATAATCTTCCATTAGGATACTACAAGACTGAATGTTTCTTTTTTTCTTTTTTTTTTTTTTTGCTGTACGCGGGCCTCTCACTGTTGTGGCCTCTCCCGTTGCGGAGCACAGGCTCTGGACGCACAGGCTCAGCGGCCGTGGCTCACGGGCTCAGCCGCTCCGCGGCATGTGGGATCTTCCCAGACCGGGGCAGGAACGCGTGTACCCTGCATCGGCAGACGGACTCTCAACCACTGCGCCACCAGGGAAGCCCCAAGACTGAATGTTTCTTTGATGACCAGGCAAAAACTGTTACATCTTGGCTGGGAAGTTCTGATTCATCCGCCATATTCACCAGACATTGCACCCTCGGATTTCCATTTATTTCGGTCTTTACAAGATTCTCTTAATGGAAAAATTTTCAATTCCCTGGAAGACTGTAAAAGACACCTGGAACAGTTCTTTGCTCAAAAAGATAAAACGTTTTGGGAAGATGGAATTACGAAGTTGCCTGAAAAATGGCAGAAGGTAGTGGAACAAAATGGTGAATACGTTATTCAATAAAGTTCTTGGTGAAAATGAAAAATGTGTCTCTTATTTTTACTTAAAAACCGAAGGAACTTTTCGGCCAGCCCAATATTATCCACTTTATAGGTAGGTAAACTAAGCTCAGAGGAATGAAATAATTTGCCCAAGGTCATGTAGCTAATAATGGTGGAGTCAGTTCCATCTCACACTCAGAATAAACCCCAAGTTCTTTTGACAAAGAGCTACAAGGACCTCTCTGATCTGAGCCCTGCCTGCCCCCCTAATCAACTCAAACACAAGTTTATTCCTACCTCAGGGCCTTTACACCTGCTATTTTTTCTCCGAAACTGCTTTTCACTGGGCTGGCTCCTTCTTATCCTTCAGGTCTTGATTCAAATACAAGGCTTTCCTGATAACACAATGACTTTTTGTCTCTTTAACCCATTTTAGTTTACATGTTGTATTTTTTATTCGCTTACTGTCTAACATCTGTTCCCTCTACTCCCACCCCTCATGAGGACAGGGGCTTTGCCTGCTTTGTTCACTGCTATATCCTTAATGCTGGCACATAGTAGGTGCTCAATAAGTATTTGCTGAATGAATGACCTTACAGGGAGGTAAAACAGCTAAAAACAATCTAACTCAGTTCTTTGGGCATCTTGAAATAACAATTCTTGCATGGTGAGCTTCGAAGATTAAAAAAAATAAAAGAAGTCACAAGGCCTAGAACCACAGGATATATTTTTAAAGAAATGAGAGTTTCGATTCTCCCACCACTCACAGGCTGGACCTGGGGGTGTTCACAGGGCTCTGTGCTCTGAGAGCCCTTTGTCTCCAGAGAAGGAGGAACCCTGGCAGGAAGGGTGAGCAATCCACCAGCACCACTATTTGGGTAATAACTAGGCCTTTTCTTCCCAGGCTTGTTCTGCTCCTCCCCACACCCCTTCCCACAGGCAAAAATCTTCTCTATTTAACCAGGAACTGGAGCTCTCTGAAGACCCTGGAGGTCAACCATGAATTGAATAAGGTGTGACAGGCAGAGAGAGCAGTACTTGATGAGGGAGGCTGAGTTCTTGTGATCTTGGACAAGGAAACTTTTCTTTCTCTCCCTTTTTTTTTTTTGCTGGTGGGGGGGTTGGCTACCATGGGGGCTTGAGTAAAGAGAGTTGAATTAATCAACTCAGTTCCCAGCCCACTCTCTTAATTGGTTTGTACAAGGCTTCTCTCTGGTTTTATTAATTCACACATTCATTCATTTATTTTTATCCCTATCCTCCACTCCCGTTACCCTCCTCCCCCATTCCGTTTAATAAAATACCTCTGAATTTGTGTGTAGCTTTGTCAAATGTATAGTGTTGTCTCATGTGAATGTGAATTTAATTTTTTAATTAAAAAGGATCTACTATAAATCACTTCTGTTTCTTACTGTGGTAGCCAGTAAGAAACTCCTGGTATTCATATCTTTGAGCAGTCCCCTCTTGCATTGCATAGAGGTGACCTTACTCAACAAATAGGATATTGCAAGGATAACTGTGCAAATTCCAAGGCTAGGGGATGAAAGACATCACAGTATCCTCTTTCTGTCTCATTGATCACCCACTCTAGGGGAAGCCGGCTACCATGCTGTGAGGACACTCAAGCAGCCCTATGGAGTGGTCTAAGAGGAGCTGAGGCCTCCTGCCAACAGTTATTACCAACTTACCAGCCATGTACGTGAGCCATTTTGAATGATTCTCCCGCCCCAGTCAAACCTACAGACGACTACAGCCCCAGCAACATCTTAACTGCAACCTCATGAGAGATCCCAAGCCAGAGCCAGTCAGTCAAGCCATTCCCAAGTTCCTGACCCACAGGAGCCTTGTGAGATAATAATGTTTATCTAACTTTCCTGTGTCACAACATATTCTTTTTTCCCACCATTTAAAAATGTAAAAATCATTCTCAGCTTGAGCCGAGCTGTACAAAAACAGGTGATGTGTCACATTTGGCTCACAGGTCTTCGTTGACTCACAGTCTGCTTAGCTGTTTTGAATTGTTGCATAATTGTAATTGTTCCATAATGTGCCTTCACCATATTTTGCATATTTACTCCCAGTGAGGGGCATTCAGTTTATCTCCTACTCCCAGCTACCACCGACAACAGCTGCCGTGAATATCGTCGGCCTTGTGGGAAAGGCCCTGGCATATTTGTCCAGGAGTGGAATTGCTGGGTTTCAGGGTCTTAGTCTACACTCAGCGGTGCCGCATGAGAGTCCCATTTCCCCACACCCTACCAACACTCGGTGTTATCCAACTTCCTAATGTTTGATAGTCCGTGACCTGGTTTCTCCTCTTTGTTTGGCTTTTGCATTTCCCTGATAACTAATGAGTTTGAACATCTCTTTGCCTAGTAGCACACATTTAGGTTTCCTCTCTAAGTTGCGCCTATTCGTGTTTTCACCCATTTTTCTATTAGATGTTTCTGACTTTTTCTTATTGGGAAGACTTCCCCTTTCCAGGCCTCAGTTTCCCCATGTGCACCACAGTTACCTACAGGGCTCTCCTGACATGCCATCCTTGTTTCTGAAATCCCTACAGCCTATTTTAAATAATAAAAATGTGGCTTGGGGTTGAATTTTTACATATATTATCTCATTTAAGAAACCAAGGGTTTATTTGGGAATTATAACTGAGATTTCTGGGTTCAGAGAGGTTGATGACCAGTCCAGGGCCACCCAGAGGAGTCATGGGGTTGAGCAGATGCCTAAACTGAGTTCCACTAGGAAGAGTTGGGACTGCAAATCAAAATATGGCAGCAAACAACACTTCCCTTGGGTCAAAGTTGGAAATGATGTTTCTAAATGATAAGGGGAGACAAGGCACTGGAGAGCATGGGGCCTTCTTTACTAAGCTGGCAGAAGTGAAACTATTCATAACTTTTCTTAGGGGCAGTTTGATGATTATGTGCCAAAAGCCTGAAATGCCTGCACATCCTTTGACTCAACGAATTCCCTAGGAATTTGTCCTGAAGCAGTAATTGGTCAAAGATGAGGAATGTGTTTGGTGGTGGGCAAACAAAAATCACACCTAAGTATCCCACTTCAGGAGATGGAATACTACATATGCATATGATATCTTAAGAAAGATGTTCTAGGGAATTCCCTGGCAGTCCAGTCGTTAGGACTCTGTGCTTTCTCTGCCAAGGGCCCAGGTTTGATCCCTGATCCCTGGTGGGGAAACTAAGATCCCACAAGCCATGCACAGTGAGGCCAAAAAAAAAAAAAAAAAAAGATGTTCTATAGAAGGATTTCTAATGCTAGGGAAAGATGTTAATAATTCAGTTAAGGTAAGGGGAGGGGGGGATCCATTATAAAATGATGGATACGGAATGATCTCATTTTTCTAGGGAAAAAATACGTATGAAGGAAATCACTGGGAAAATACAATGATGTATTGAGTGCTTGCTATGGGCCATACACTGTTTTTAGTGCTTTTTATAGCCTCATTTAATTGTCACACAACTCTGAGTAGGTGCTGTTATTATTCCCATATTACAGGTGAAGAAACTGAGGTCAGAGAGGTGAAACGAGCTGCCAGAGGTCATGCAGATGGTGAGTGATGAAGCCAGGATTTGAAGCCATGCGCTGGCTCCAGAGTCACCCAAAATAGTCCCCATGGTCACCTCCATGTTTGCCTCTGAGGAGTGAGACCAAGATGATCCTTATTCCCTTTATCTGTATTTCCTGATTTTTCTACAATTAATATTTCTTCTACAATTAATATTTTTAAAAGCCCTCTTGTAGTGATCGGTGCCTTTGAAAGTATGAAAGAGGAGAGAGTCTTGGAGGGGAGGTGTTGTGTAGAGAAAAATCAGGAACGGGTTGGGGCTTGGCTCACCTCAAACCCTACCCAAGCCCCAAACCCTCTCTCTTTTCATTCTCAAAAATATCAAGGAGGGGCTTCCCTGGTGGCGCAGTGGTTGAAAGTCCGCCTGCCGGTGCAGGGGACGCGGGTTCGTGACCCGGTCCGGGAGGATCCCGCATGCCACAGAGCGGCTGGGCGCGTGAGCCGTGGCTGCTGAGCCTGCGCGTCCAGAGCCTGTGCTCTTCAGCGGGAGAGGCCACAACAGTGAGAGGCCCGCGTACCGCAAAAAAAAAAAACAAAAAATCAAGGAAGTCAAAGGTCTGATATCTGCTGTGTGACCTTGAACTGGTTCCTCACCCTTTTGGAGCCCTTTTCGAAATACGTCACAGGGAAGGTTGGGGGGGGGTAGGGGGTGCAGAGAGGAGGAAGCTGGCGCCAGAGGTGCAGCAGGGAGGGACAGGTCTAGGGATGGGTCCCCTCCTGTCATCTCCTTTCCCCTGGGGCTTTGAGGAGTGACTTACCCAGTCTCTGAATGTAACTCTGGGAAAGTCTGTGCTGCAGTGAGCACTGGACTTTGGACCCGAGTCCAAAGACCTGGGTTCTGCTCACATCTCACCATTGGTTACCTGTGTCCTAGTCAGTCCCATTTCTGAGCCTTGGCTTTCTCAGCCATTGAAGGGGCAAATGCCTGGCTGGTTGTGACAACGTGAGGAAAGGTGCTTTGTGAGAGGCTAAGCAACTGTGTGCTATGTCATGGGTCAACAAACTACGGCATTACTTCTGTAGTTCCTTTTTAACAGCTTTATTGAGATATAATTCAAATACCACACAATTCACCCACTGAAAATGTACACTTCAGCAAATTTTAGTATATTCACAGTTGTGCAAGCATCACCATGATCAATTTTTCGTCATGCCCCAAAGAGCCCTTTAGATGTCACCCTCCCCCGCCCCAGTCCCCTCAGGCCCAGGCAACAACTCCTCTGCTTTCTGTTTCCAGAGACATTTCATATCCATGAAATCATACATGTGCCATCTTTGTCTGGCTTCCTTCACTTAGCATGTTTTCAAGGCTCATCCGTATTGTAGCATATATCAAACTTTGGTTCCTTTTTATGGCTGAACAATATTTCATTGTATGGTTATACCACATTTTGTTTATCCATTCATCAGTTGATGGACATTTGTGTTTTTCTTCTACTTTTTGGCTGTTATGAATAGGTATAAACTTTTATGTACACATGTGTGGATTTATGTTTTCATTTATTTTGGGTATATACTTAGCAGAATTGCTGGGTTAAATAGTAATTATGTTTAACATTTTGAGGCAACATCTGTTTTTTGTTTTATTTATTTATTTTTGGTTGCGTTCAGCCTTCGTTGTTGAGCACAGGCTTTCTCTAGTTGCGTCGAGCGGGGGCTACTCTTTGTTGCGGTGCACGGGCTTCTCATTGTGGTGGCTCCTCTTGTCGTGGAGCATGGGCTCTAGGCTCATGGGCTTCAGTAGTTGTGGCACATGGGCTCAGTAGTTGTGGCTCGCGGGCTCTAGAGCGCAGGCTCAGTAGTTGTAGCTCGCGGGCTTAGTTGCTCCGCGGCATGTGGGATTTTCCCAGACTAGGGCTTGAATCCGTGTCCCCTACATTGGCAAGTGGACTCTTAACCACTGAGCCACCAGGGAAGTCCCAACACCTGTTTTTATATAGTCCAGGAGTTAAGAATGGTTTTTATGTTCTTATGGTAGGGAAAAAATCAAAAAAAGAATAATATAATGTGAAAACTACACAGAAGTCAAATTTCAGTGTCCACAAAGAAAGTTTCACAGGACAGCTGCTTTCATTCATTTATGTATTGTCTATGGTGCTTTTGCATTACAGTGGCAGAGATGAGGAGTATGACAGACCATTTGGCCTTCAAGCCTAAAGTATTTACTGTCTGGTCGTTTATAGAAAATGTTTGTTGACCCCTGAACTGTGTGTTGGTATTATTAATTATTGTTTGGTGGAGGCAGCTTGAGTATGCTGCCTTGATTGGAATAGGACTCAGGTTGCCAGGTGCTGGCCTATGAGCATAAAGGGATGAGAGCTCCTGTCTAGCCCCATTTTCTGGATTGAGAAACTGAGTCCTGCAGGAGGGCCCAGGCTCATGCAAGCTGAGGGGGAAGTGAGGGCCTAGCTTTCTTTTACTCCTTGGCAGCCTCCTCACCTTCAGCTAAGAACACCCAGTTGTGAATAATTCATGGCTAATGTTTGCAGATCACTCCGTCTTGTCAGAGCACTTTGATCATCATTAATTAGTCAGAACCTGGCTCTGGCTGTTGCCTAATAAAACATAAACATAAGTGGCTTAGATGTCTCCATTCCTAAAACTGAAGGTTCCATCTCCATAGCAAGGCTTTGTACCTGCAGATTCTTTCTCTCTGCCCATCACCTCATCACCTCTCAAAGACCTACTGTTTTGGCCTGAAAGTCAGGTTTCCTGAAGGATGGAGAGCAGTTGCAGGGTTGGAGCCCAGTCCTCATAGCAGAGAAGTCACATCCCCTCTCTGCCCCTCGGTGTCTTTGTTGGGAAGATACGAGTAATGATGCCTATCTCTGGGGTTGTTTGTATTTGTAAAAGTGTTCTGAAAGGAGCCCTCATACACTGCTGGTGGGAAGGTAAAATGGCACAGCCATTGAGGGACCCTCCCAGTTCCTCAAGTGACTAAATGTAGAGTTACCGTATGACCCAGCAATACCATTCCTATGTATATACCCCAGAGAAACGAAAACGTGTCCACGCAAAATCTTGTACACAAATGTTTGTAGCAACATTATTCAAAATAGCCAAAGAGCAGAAACAACCCAAATGTCCATCAGCTGATGGATGGACAAATAAAATGTGGCACATCTATACAATGGAATATTATTTGGCCATAAAAAGTAAAGAAGTATTGATACACGCTACAAAATGGATGAAAACATTACATTAAGTGAGAGAAACCAGACACAAAAGGCCACATATTGTATGATTCCATTTATGCAAAATGTCCGGAATAGGCAAATCCATAGAGTCAGAAAGAGATGAGTGGTTGCCAGGGGCTGTGGAGGATATAGAGAGTGACTGTAAATGGACACAAGGTTTCTTTGTGGGGTGATGGAAATGTCCTAAAATTGAACATGGTGATGGTTTCACAACTCTGTGAATATATTAAAAAACATTGAATTGCAGACTTAAAATGGATGAATTTTATGGTACGTAAATTATACCCCAATAACACTTTTTAAAAGTGCTCTGAAAACTGTAAAGTGATGAGTATGGTGTTACTCACATGCATAATAGATGACCTGTCATAATGGATGGAGCTGAGTATTCTGACCTGTCCGTTTAGGGTAGTTCCTAAGACTTTTGAAATTGGAGACACCTGGATATCTTCCTGTACATTATCTCAGGCAACTCATTTAACTCTGAGGCCATCTGTAGAATTGGGACAGTAATCTCTGTCTCTTAGGACCGTTGTGACAATTAAATGAACACGGCAGGAACATGCTGAGCTTGGTACTTGACACCTAGTAGATGCCTAGCGAATGATGATGACTATTTCCACATTGAGTTACCTGACTCCTCTCAGCCATCCCAGGGAGCGAGTCCGTGCTCTTCCACTTTCCTCAGAATCTACTGTTTCCAAATCTTGCCTGATCATAAGAATTACCAGGAGCATCTTTTAAAAATACAGATTCCAAGGCCCCACTTCAGACCCATTGATAAGAATCTGTATTTTTTTTTTGCGGTATGCGGGTCTCCCGTTGCGGAGCATAGGCTCCGGACGCGCACGTTCCGCGGCCATGGCTCACGGGTCCAGCGCTCCGCGGCATGTGGGATCTTCCCGGACCGGGGCACGAACCCATGTCCCCTGCATCGGCAGGCGGACTCTCAACCACTGCGCCACCAGGGAAGCCCAAGAATCTGTATTTTTAAAAACTCTCCAGATGAGTCCTATAATCAGGTAAATTTGGAAGTAAGGCTGGTCCAACCTGGAAACATTTTGCTTCTTATTTATACCCTTCCACAAACCCTTATTTTCCATTGTATGCTGTTTCACCCTGACTCGCTTTTCTTTTGCCAAAGATCCCTCTATTTAAGAGCTCATGCTTTTGACTTCAATAATAACGCCAGCATGAGATTTTATAATTTCCTCATACTTTAATTCAGGGCAAGGATTGATAACATTAACAATAACAGCAATAGTGAACCTACATGTGTTTGGTGCTCTGCAGGGGTTTCCCAGGCCCCTTTATGTCCTCACAGCAGCCTCGTTTGTGGATTTAAATAAGTTAAATAACTTCTCTCTTTGGGCTTCCCTGGTGGTGCAGTGGTTGGGAGTCTGCCTGCCAATGAAGGGAACACGGGTTTGTGCCCCGGTCCGGGAGGATTCCCACGTGCCGCGGAGCGGCTGGGCCCATGGGCCCATGAGCCATGGCCTCTGAGCCTGCGCGTCCAGAGCCTGTACGTCCGGAGCCTGTGCTCCGCAGCGTGAGAGGCCACAGCGGTGAGAGGCCCGCGCACCGCAAAAAAAAAATAATAATAATAACTTCTCTCTTTTAGGAAAGTGGCACAGTCAAAATTGAATATATTTATATAAAGCACAAAATTAGGCAAAACTAATCTCTGTTTTTGTTTTTTTTTTTTTTTGAGGTACGCGGGCCTCTCACTGTTGTGGCCTCTCCTGTTGCGGAGCACAGGCTTCAGACGCGCAGGCTTAGCGGCCATG